GACAGGGCAGGGATTTTCTCTGAAGTCTCTGTCAGATACAGCTAAAATGAATTTAAAAGGGTCAGAGAGTTTTAGGGCATGGCACATAACTAAAGAGGTGCATTTGTGTTTTCTGAGGGCTGAACAGGTGCAACACGATCCAGGCTCAGCACCTATCCAGGCACAGTATCTATCAATGATGCTGACTGGAACTCTCTAGACCAACACATGGCACCTCCAGTCACTGAGCTGCAGCAGGGACATGGAGCTGCCATGGCAGGGGGCTTGGAATGAGATGATCTGTAAGGTATCTTTCAACCCAAACCATTCCGTGACTCTGTGACTCTGTGTAACACAGAGGCTTCCCAGCACAGTGTCCCCAGAGATGCAGCCAGAAGTGGGCCGAGAAAGAAGCAGAATTAAAAATAAATGTAAGTGCATCCTGCCACGTTAACTACATTTAGAGAGGCTTTAGTACCAACCCACTCTGCAGGAAGGCAGGAGATGCTTGGAGACAAGTAGGTCATGGGACACAGATTGTCCCAAATCAGCAGGAAAAGATGGATTTGGAGCAGGCGGGCATATCACTGTGAACAGATGGGCAGGAGCAGATCTGCTGCCTCACCATCGCCAAATTCCCTGGGAAGACAGAACTGCCACCAGTTTGCTCCTGAGCAGAGCTGTGGTCAAGCCCTCTGTTCTGGAGCACCCAAGCCCTGTGGCTGCCCGTGCACCCAGGGATGCCAAGGCTGGAGCCCAGCCAGGGCTTTGTGGGGCAGAAGCAGAGGCATTCATGGCTGTGGCTCCCACCTGCCTTCATACAGGGACAGGGCTGAGCCTGCTGTGGGGTCAGGGCTCCATGCTGCCGGGGGGGCTGCTCCTGCACCCCAGTCCCACAGCAATGCTCGAGAGCCCACCTGTGATGGATGAGGTGGAGGGATGCATCCTGCTGGCATCGCTGCTTGCACCCTGCTGCCCCAGGATCCCACTGCCATTGCTGGATGGGAGCTGGAGGGGATCCCAGGTCTTTCAAGGGGCCTCGGGGTAGCTCAAAAACCTTCCCCAGCCTGATTTCAAGTGGTGAGCATGAGGCTGGGGAATGGCAAAGGGCACTCCATCTCCAAGGTGCTGGTACTAAGGGAAGGGGAGGAGAGACTGAGACAGCCAAGATCTATGCTGCCAGTGCGGGAGCAAAGAGAGAAGGGAGACAGCCAAGGTCAGAGGGAGAACTGCCAAAATTCACAATGAAACTGCAGGAGTGCTGGAGGGGAGAGACAGACGACTTGGAAAGAGAATGATAGAGGAGGGGGGGAAGGAGTCTGGGAGATGGAGCAGGGTGAAGGAGCCAGACAGGGAAGCAGGGTTGGGAACATGTCACTCCACAGATGAAGTGATTGAACATGGATGAGAGGGACAGCAAAGACAGCCTCAGGCAGGCAGAAGACAACAGGAGCAGGAATGTGATGGAGCTAGATAGGCTGTGGACCTGGCTTTGTTACCTAACACAGCTCTGTGAACACAGCCCAATTTTGGGGAGTGCACAGCTGTCTGGTGCCCACTGGCAGTGCTGACCTCTATCTAGCCTCACCACCGAGGTGAAGTTTCATTCCTGCCTCCTTAGCATTCACAGCATCCCATGGCAGAGTGAGCGTCTGCAGCCAGCACAGCTGAAGGTGACTTGGAGGTCAGGGAAAAAGCAGCCGGGCAATTCAGGAGCTGGCTCTACATCACTGAGAGATCCAGCAGTTTGGGGGGACCAGAGGTGCCCAGCACATCACAGCCTCCCTGCCTGTCATGGCCAATCCTTGTGTACCCATCAGAACATCCCAGTGTTCCACATAGATGGGGTGGGTTTCTGATCCAGCAAATTGCTCCTGGGAGCTGTTGCTACCAGCAAGGAGGGAGGGCTGGACATCAGCCTTGATGCTGGGGAAGGCTGGAGATGCACAGTGGGCATCAGTGAGGGTGGTTCCCTTCTTGCAGGGCGTGGAGTTCCCAGACAGGTTTGGTGCCCTGGAAGAGCAGTGGATACCTGCTCTGGGATTCCTGGGAGGTTCCTCCAAGTCCCCATGGCATACACCACTCCAAGGATGGTTTATAGCAAGAATCCCTCTCCTTCCCCAAACATCTGAACCCCAGCCCAAAGGCAGCTGGCGGGATGGAGCCCTGCTTGCCTCTACGACCAGCTGCAGAGCCGCACTGGGAAGAGGCTCAGCACTTTCCTGGTGATAATTAAGATCTCGTTATCTTCAGCTAACACCAGGGAGACAGGGAAAACCACAGGTGCCTTGTGATACGGCAACAGCTGATGCTCCAGGCTGTGCCTGGGAGCAATGGGAGCCTTGCTATGTTCTGCCTGAATATAAAGCACGGAAAGCACGAAGCAGAGAGTGACAAACTATTTTTTTTCCTGGCTGATGACACCTAAATGTGCAAACATACTGTCTTCTCTCAGGGGTGGCTGGAGCTAGCATAGATGGATGGCTGTGCACCTTTCACCTTCCCCTTCCGCACAGAGGTCCGACCTGAGGCTCTGTTTTTTTGTTTGGATTTTCTTTTTCTTTTTTGTTTTAATTTTCTTTTTTTCTTTTGCAAATTTCCTTCACCAGGGGAGTTTTATGAGACGTGTCTGGAGTCACGCAGGAGCTGCTCACCTGCAGAGAAAGATGGGGCGGTGTCTGTAAACGGGCTCTTAGAATGTCAAGGGTGAAAGGGGTTGGGAGAAGAGGAGGGGAGGGGAAGACGAGGAGAGGAAGGAAGAGAGGAGAGGAAGAACAGATGGATGGGCAGAGGGAGATCGCTCTCCACCCTCATGGAGCTAAAATGAAGGGTGCGGCACCGTGTTCCCGGGCACGTGTGCGTGCTGCCAGTGAGCCCCGGGAAGGAGCAGGGAGCCATTTACAGCGGCAGGTCCCTGCCGAGAGGCTGTGCGGAGCTGTGGCGAGTGGCCACGGGCCCTGCGGCGGCTGCGGCCGGAGCTGCCCGC